ACACACACACATTTATTATTCCTCTCTCTCTATCACTAGCTCTATATTCAACTTTAATAATGAACAGTAATTATTAGTTTGAGAAGATAGAAATATAGGAGACCTTAGGTTTGTGTCCTTGATTAGCTAGGGTTTCGGCTTTTTAAGCATGCTTTCTTTCAACTCAAGATTGAGTTTAAATGGAGCAAAACAATTACTTTTTGGTTAGTGTAAATACTTGAAAAACTGGAAAACATGTTCCATTACAAGAAAGAGAAGTTATCAAGATTCTTGAATTAAAAGCTACCAAAGTGTTATACTTACGTCAACATTGTCACGTGACTTTTATTTTTTTTTTGCTACTGAAAAAAAGGGAACATATTGTTATTTGGTTTGCTTTTAGTTTTCTTGTGTGTTTGGCTTTTCATGGCGTTTTAGGCGTGTACAAAGCATACTTGTCTACTTTACCATTATGAGCGAAAAATGGTTTTTTATCTATTTTAGGATATATATGAAAAGAAAACACGGTCCAAACTGAGCCACGTACGACCCGGTAACGAGTCTCAAAAGTAGCTACATATATAAAATGGATCACAAACTCAAGCCAAGACTCATCAATAAGTAAGAAGAGTTAAAGAGACTCGTGAGGCCCAATATCAAATTTTAACTAGACTAAACCGGATCAAAAAGCAAGAAGAATCAAACCAATTCCTGAATCGCGGACCGGAGAGCCCGGTTAGGGACGAGATTGGTGTGAGAAAGCTTGAGAGTTGTCATTGGTGATGTATGTTTACCTATGCTAAACCATCTCCTAATAGATTCTGCTTCGTACGTAAATCCATCGCTTGTCAATTGTGCATGGATCTTTCATCACTTCCTGCGAATATATATAACCACACAAACATTTAAACATGTATATTACTAGTATACGAGATTGAGTGTTGTGCATGTAATCTTCTTGTAAAGATATCGAGATTATAAGGACTTGCCTGTGAGATAGGGCAAATAAACGATGCTACTAATTGCTCTAATCTTGTTGTGATCTCATTGACAACTTCGATAGCATTGTCCCTCTCTTTTCGCATCGCATCTGCATCTGCATCTTTAATATTGTAAGATATCTCAAGCTCTTCTTTTTCTTTCATAAGATCTTCCTTGAGATTTAGCTCCCTCTTGTACTTGCTCTTGAACTTCTTAGCCTTGAGACACATATTCTCATGCTTTGTTGTGATCTCTTGTTTTTCTTTCATAAGAGCTTTCGTGAGATTTAGCTCGCTCTTGTACTCGCTTTCGAACTCCTTAACCTTGAGACACATATTCTCATGCTTTGTTTTCATCACTTGTTTTTCTTTCATAAAAGCTGTCGTGAAAATTAGCTCTCTCTTGTACTTGCTTTCGAACCTCTCAGCGTTGAGACACATATTATCATGCTTTGTTGTGATCTCATGGACTAATTTGAGAGCATTGTCCCTCTCTTCTCGCATTGCATTCACATCTCTCTTGTCAGCATGAACATGCTCTTCGACTAGTTCATGTCTGATTTTAAAAGTTTCTAGTTCACACTTTACTTTCTCTAACTTTTCCCGTTCTATAGCACGAACATATTCTATTTATTCCCAAAGAACAGATCCTATTTCTTCCCAAAGACGACGCAACTTCTCTTGGTGCATTTGCTCCAAGGCCTAGCTTGTAAACGCGATTTATCTTGCTCGTCCTCGTAACACTCAAGTAGGACCTTTTCTAAATTTTCTTCTTGTCTAGCGATTGTTTCTTCAAGCTTGATTTCGACATTGTTTCTGCCCTCCATTTATCCAGCCTATAAATCAAGCTAGGGTTTAGAGAGAGATATATTCATACCAAACGATTATGCTTTTCGACCAAAAGATTCATTCATATTAGCTAATCTTTAAGAGTGCAAAATGGCTTAATTAGTAGATCTCTATAGGAGTGCAAAAAAACCAAGGCAAGTCAAACCTGAAATATGCTTTTGCCGAGTTGTTTTGAGAGACAATCCTTTTCTTGAAAACTCGAGTCAGAGTCCGCACCGTCTTATCGAATCTCCGACATAAAAATCGTCAAGAAGAGTCTTTCAAAATGCAGAGAGATCCAAAGATCGAAGAAGAGTGTTTGTTGAATGTGTAGGTTAATAGAATACTCGATGATGATAATCACAATTTTGAGAGTATCTAAACTAAGAGATATACTGATATACATCAATATAATTTAGAAGATTTACCATATAATATTATTTCCATTATTCAGAGTTTCTAATTATCTATTATGCTAGTTCTATACTATTTATTTACTATTTTCCTTTTCTCTAACAATTTCTAGCTTACTTTACGGTCAAGTTTTTCATGAAATTATGTATAGAGAATTTTGATATAAAAGAAGGATATTTCTTTTTTCTCGAACCAACGGAAGAAGATTCATCGATCTCTTAAAAGTACAAATAGAATCGGGTAACAACATACTGTACCCAAAATATATAATATTCGACATATTAAAACATTGTTTTTGACTGAAAATATTACCGAAAAAAGGTAACTTGGAAAGGTCTGATGAATCTTCTGGATCACAAATTCAAGCAAGGCTCATAAATAGTATAGTTTATTATTATATAGGCCCTAAATCAAATTTCAACTTAGACTAAACCGGTTCAAAAAGCAAGAAGAATCAAACCAACTCCTGAATAGCTGACCGGAGAGCTCGGTTAGGGACAAGATTGATGTGACTATGTGAGAAAGCTTGAGATTTGTCATTGGCGATGTATCATGACCATTGTTAAGCCATCTCTTAATTGCTTCTGCTTCGTACGTATATCCATTGCTTGTCAATTGTGGATCTTTCATAATCTCCTGCGAATATATAAAACAACAAAAACATAAAACCATAAAACCACAAAACATACATATATTATTACTAGTATAGGAGACTGAGTATTGTGCAAGTAATCATATTGAGATTATAAGGACTTGCATGTGAGATAGGGC